TACCGACATTTCGGTTTTTTCCATGACCATTCTGATATTATATAATAGATTTATAAGTATTTGTTTATATAATGTATCATGTTTCGACTACTCACGTGAAGGCATTGGACGTAACTGGAACATAATACGTAACTAAATTCACAATTATGTCGTATTTCAAGGTACGTATAGATAATTAAGGTTATATACATTTTCATGTTTACATATATATGGTAAAATATCCAAAAACACAAGTAGATACAGAGTATGCTCCACACGAAATTTATATTAATTTATACAAGTACTTACAAGTTTGTTCGTTCTGTATGTAAATTGACATGGTGTGGCTTGCGTGCAATTTTTGTTGAGAATAATATTAAAATGTGGATATGTTGGATAGATACTTATTGATGCGACGAGAGGTTTAAGGAGTTGGATTGTATTTTTATTATTTTATCGTTGCAATTAGTTTGACACAATCCATGCGTAAAAGTTTAACCTTCGTTCAGTTATCGAATACGACCATCACTGTATCACGAGTATTACGCTAGACTGCACCTTCATGGAACGTATGCCGATTTTCGTGACACTAACGCACTTCGTAGGTACATTATTGAACAATATGTACATTACATATAGTAAAATGATTTACGTTTTATTACATTTGTAAAATGTTGAAATAAAATAAACCAATATGTTTTAAAAACAATTATCAATAAAAGAGACAAATAAAATGGTAATTTCACTAAGAAAAATAAATGGTATGTAGCTATAAGTATATTAATTATCTATTAAATTAAATTTTGCATCGTAATTAAGTTGCAAATGAATTTTTCATCTCCCACCCGGCTGATTAGAAAACTATACGTCTATATATATCTATGTATAATACTGACATATTAGGCATAATGCGGGTTTGCAAATACATTTACTTGTTTTGTATATTTTTGAATGCATGCAGCTTATAATTTTAATACTTGAAGCTTATAATTTATTGAAAAAAGGCAATAACAATTATTTTTTATGTATTTGAACTTAATAAAAACGTTATGAATAAAACTGCTATAATATAGAAAAAATTCAATTTTACCTTAGTATACAAATTATGAGTTATCACAAACGACATATTCAAGTATACATGTACGGTGAATGTATTCAAAATTTTAATATCATATAGTTAAATTATAATTCATAAGTCATAATAAAATATTGATTACAAATGTATTAATTTTAATACTTTATAAAAATGTATTTTTGATTAAAATATTTTTTTTAGAAAGCAATTAAAATATATGTTAGTTGAATGATATCAAATAAAGGTTAATTTTATTTAAAAATTTAATTTATTTTTGAATTATTTAAAGAATATGTAAACTTTGAATGATATAAACGAAATTCCAATACTTTTTAAGCTGGTAGAACATATTAATATAATACCGGTTGTCAAAAACAAAGGCTGTCAAATACTTCCCTTGATTTAGTAAATGAAATCCGATTATATATGGAACCCTATTGTATAAAATATAAGTTTCCATTTGTATATGTTTAGTCCACGGCGATTATAATACAATTTCATAGTAATACATATGAATTTAGCACTTAAAACTATATAAAAATGACCGATTTAACATTTTTTACAATCTGAAATATTGTTATCGCGTTTGTATGAATCCTCCTTAAAATATGATTTTTGTTATTCAAATAATTAATGTCATTATTATTATGTACAGATTTCACAATAGTTTATATATGTGAAATAATTGCTACGTTTTAATAATTATTACTTTGCATTAGCTACTATACGAGTATATGAAGAGGAAAAAAAATTCTACGGGATTGACTTAAGGTATTTATCTACTTGAGAACTAAATGCTATCATTGTTTAATCAGTAATCACAATGTGTGTTATTACAGTACTGCACTTTTTAATACTTCATGTTGAAGTCGTTACAACTTATGACTGTGTAGAAATATAAATTAATGGTCATTCAGAGAAATATTTTTTGTACAAATTCTAAGCGTAATTAAACTCACACAAACATATTAATTATGTTTTTATTTTTAATTAATACTTATAATTTTCTTTTAGTGTATGGATTAAATGAAAGTATATTATATTACTAATTATAGTATATTATCAGCATTATTATCTATTTAAATATTTTGCTTTTTAATTAAATTAATTAATTGCATAAGTGTATACGAAATATATACGAAATTGAGTAGTGTATCATTAATATAATTTAAATAATAACTACGTTCATACGTATTGCAAATGAATAGCTCGTGATTAATGTTTTATGATTATTCAAAATTATTAGTGCCTAAAGTGAACTGTTAAATATTTGTAAGTGTTTAATAACTTAATGTCATACATTTATTTTATTTATTTATTATTTTATTAAAATATAATGCATATAAAAAATATTGAATTGTTAAGTCTTATTTTTGTATCAAATAAAATATAATAAAATCTAATTAAAACATCATAAGATATTAATTATAAAGTATTAACAGTACTCGTATATGCATTTGAATTTTTTTGAATGCAATGATATTTACCATATGAAATTAAATCATATGACTTATTTGGATCTTTTTGGTTTTTTTATATTTTTAGTAATAAAAAATCCTAAAAAAGAAATTCTTCATATCAATCATCATAAATACAATACTCGTTGAAATGCTAAATTAACACCGAGTATATATATATAAACATATTACTTAAGTTCTTATTATTGAATTTTTGATTTAAAGTTATTATTTATTAATTTTAAACAATATATTCATTACAGTTTATATTTTGATTATTTTTAAAATATGCTTTTTTATACAATACAAATATTAAATGGGAATTAAAAAATATAATCAAAGGGGTACCTCATACGTTAGTGATATTAAATAACACTTATCCTATAAACACGATACGTAAATAAACTTTCAAATGATACCTTAACCTTCATCATTGGAAGTAATGTTTTCATATTATTTTTATTACCGCATACTCTTAATTTACGGATTTATATACATTTATATAGATATACACGTAAGTCTTTGTAGTATATAGTACTCAGACTTTTACACAATGACCTTGTACTTTCTAAATGTATAATAATAACAATAATAACAATAGTATAATTGTTTTATAAGTAAATATTATGGGTTCCTTTCACCATTACAGAATTAAAAACTTCAAACAATAATTAAACAAAAACTATAAAAACGAACAAATTAGATATTAGAGGTACTCCATTAATCGTGTGTATATTAAATTTTATTTAATTTCTTTAAATCGAAACAAGTTTCTAATAGTTAATATATAATATTTATTTGTAGTTGTAATTTTACTTTTAACCTTTTCTGTGACAAACTATTACGATATTAAATCGTGAAGACTTGTAATGAAAAATATTGATCTTTCGTTCAAATGCTATAGCTAATGCATGCCGGATATTATGCATTGATTAAATTCAAAATATGTCTCACTAGTAAATAAATGTCCTCATTTTCATAAGTAATAGAGAAATAATTCGATAATTTATCTGAATTTCAATTTGTTTAATTTTATATATTTTCACTTTTTAAAAATTATACTAAAAAGTATTCTGTGAACCTGAATACTGAATATTAATTGTGTTTAATTTTTAAAAACTAAAAAATTTAATAATTTTCGAATATCAATATCTTATAGGATCTCCGGTACTTCCTAAAGAAAATAATTGGTTATTAAAATGATAAAAATTATACTATTAATCGTCACAACTTAAAAAATTTGAAAATATTGATTTAAATATAAGATTGTGTGTTGAAACTCATTAGAAAATATTAACGGATCGATTAATCAACTTTGGGTTTTTTTTTTAAACGATAAATAATAACGAAAAATATTTCATACATTACAATGGTTAATTTTACAATCGATGATATTATTAGTTATTATAATCAACCGAACAGGTATATAACCTACACTTATTAGTTATGAATAGGTTTTTAAAAAAAAAAAAAAAATAAAAAAATGAGAGTAATACTTTTATTGCAGTTATAACACAAGTACAGCAAAGTTTCTGCATGATGTACGAATATATTATGAAACGGATTATTAAATGTATCTGTGTATAAAACTGGTGCTGATTGAAAAATGAAAAACATATCGCATTATAAGTTATGCACTGTAATTCAGATGCCTATATTTTATATCTCTATAGATCTGTGTAAAACTATTTGCTTATACCGCGAGCACGTGATGGATGTCGGTCGACCAGTACCGGAATTGAACACCGTAAGCACCCGTTGTAACAAACTGGAAAAATTGCACAACACGAGAGGCTGCCGCGCGCGTGTATCACATCCGAGTGATTCGTACGAGTACGTTTCATAACGCTCGCGGACGAACGGAACCGTTATCGGTTGATGTTCTCGGGTACACCCGATTATTGATTTCAAAATACGGATTTGTCGGGACGAAAAGTAAAAACGTAACAATAGCGATTAACGCGTGGGAAATGGTCGCACAAACCCGTAATTCCGTTCGTTGTACGTAACGTACAACGGGGAGTCTATTCATCGGAACGAGTGCGTTGTAGTTAGTCCGTAAAACAGTAGCGTAGCGACGTGCGCGACGTGAAGAATAATGTCGATTTCCACGGTACCGTAATTTTTTATTTTTCTTATCCGCGAATCCCGGCAACGGGCACTTCGGGTCTCGCGGGAATATCGGTGTACTAAGGCAAAGGATACGAGCGTTAGCGCGCATCCTTTACGCGTTATGCCTACTTTTACGTATTATAAACGCGCAATCGGCGAGACAATGGAAAAAAAAAAGGGGGAAAAACGATAATAATAATAATAGGTATTAAGAACGTATATATCTGTATACACGTCGTGTATTTATTTGTATCGATCGACGTCGGCCGATCGGAGACAGCAGTCTCCGGTCGGGTGAAAGGGTCGTCGAGATCGGTAATAATAATAATAGTAATCATTCGTAAAATGCTGCCGCGCCGCGTGAAACGGAGGAAGGCCGTTCGGCGTCGTATATCGCCGTCCGTCGCGCGCGCACACGCCATTCCGATAAGACCCACATTTACTCTCTAGCGACTCCCCTACCCCGGCGGCGCGGGCACACGGCCACGCGCTACCCCGTCCACGGCCGAACCGACCAAATCGTGTCGGCGGCCGTCGTCGTGCCGCTGCCCGGGAGCGCGTGTGTGCGGCGTTACGGGCCGGGCGCACTTGTAGCTTTGAACCCGCCAACCGCGTCACTTCTGCCCAAGTCGTATTCGCGCGATCATTGTGTTCCACCGACGTAGCAGCACAGCACCACCACCACCACCACCCAAGTGTACAACGGTAAGTGCTTTTAGAAGCGCAATCGTACGCAATCGTAATAATGGCGATAATATTAAACGGTTGTTTTTTTTTTTTTTTCCCTTTTTTCTTCTTCCCTTTAAATGCAATTACATTTGCATTCGTTGTACTCGCGCCTGTAGAACAGAATATTTGCCGTTCGGGTCCCCGCGCGTCTTCGCCGTACGAATCCGTCTGCGCGAGGCGATTTCGTTCGAAAACGTAATGCGCTTACACGTCGTGTTGTACGACCGGCCGTTGAAAACCGACTTTTCGACAATTGTACCGGAGTTTACGTTAACGCTACGCCGCTGCACTGCACCGTGCTGTACCGCATCACTACGGTGCACAGCAGTCGGCGGTGCACGCGCACGAGATTACGCTTACAACAACGATTATTGTAATGATTGTTAATAATAATTATTATTATTATTCGTTCCCGTTCGTCCGAGTACGACGTCCGTTCACTGTATCCGACGCGTGCACCGCAGTTGTTGTGAATTTTAATTCCTCACTCGATTCCGTACGCGTTTTAGTATGTAATATTATTGTACGTCAATCGGAAATCGTTATTCGTTCGACATTTTTACCGAAGCACATCTCGTTTGAACGCAGTGAGGTTTTAAAAATATCAATAGTTTTCGTTCTTTAGACGCGCTATCAAAAATGATTTAAAATAATTCGTTTCACTCAATTAAGATAAATACATGTTCCATTCGAATAGCGTATTCTTAAACGTTTTTCAATACGAAAATAATGTTTCACTGTGGTTTTAGTTTCGTTTATAAAAACGATCAATTAATGTTCAAGTGAACATTTTTGGTCCGTATGTAACTGTTATATAATGAATTCATATTAAAGACATTTAATAACACTTAATTATTATTGATATTCGACTATTAATGAACGTTAAAATAACAAGATGATTAATGTAGTAGTGATATGTTGCGTTTTGTAGGTAAGTAATGTATAACTAATATCCTAACCACTTCATTACGTTCGTTTGTGATTTTTTCAAAAGCCTTATTGTATGATTTCCAAACAAACATTACCTTTATATTAACATGAAAAGTACTAACACAAATACAATTATCAATTTTAAAGTAAACGTAAGTAAGCCTAAACATTTTTAATATGAATTTATTAATAGATATAATTTATAATTAACGGAATGTTTTTATTGTCGTTATTCAGTATATATTCAGTAGTATTAAATATTATGTAGGTATCTGTTAGTTTCTCAAATTAATCATCAAAAGTTACATAGCTTAATATTACGATAAGACCATTAAATTGTAATATGTAATATTTATTTTATGTAATATTTCGTTCAAGTGGGCATTCTAAACGTAAACATGGAAACAAATTTTTCTTTACATTTTCTTTTACACTATGATTCAGTTACACATGACATGCATACCAATTCTAATTATCATCGTTAAACTTTTCTAAAAAAGTCTTATTACAAAATTAATCTTCTTGAAAATTGTGAAAACTCTTCCTAGCTCGATTGGTGAACTCATTCAATCCGGTAAAGTACAATCCAGTCGTAAGAATAAAAATAATTTTTACTACGGCTAATGGATAATCTTGAACCCACTGTATTTATAATTAGGAATCTTAATTTTTTACGTGAATACAAATATACGTTACGTATTTACGGAAATAATGAACACACGAACGTAATAAAATAATACACACGTGATTAATATACCTAGATTAGTAAAAGCTAAGACACGTAAACACGTATCGGAGTCATAATCACGTGAAACGTGAATTTGTTAATTACATAAATAATTGTAATTGGTATTAAAATGTACATTATTTATTACTCATATCACAATAAAAATATATTCATTTTGGAAAAATAAATAATTTTCAACTAATAATTTCTAGAATTTTATTATATATTGCATTACAAAAATCTTAAAGCATAAATACGTGAATACACTATTTCACGAGTATACGCGAATATATTAATTCACAGGTACACGTAAATATATTAACTTACAAAAAATTTTAAACGAGTCTTAAAAATCGAACTTTAATTTTACATGAATACTAATGATCTTGTTCATCAATATTTAATAGTGACCTGTATTTAATTAACCATCAAGTTAAATCATCTGTAAAAAAAATTTAAAAACCTATATAGTATAATTATTAAGTTTACATAAAATTAACAACAAAACATGTAATCTAAAAATATATTAAGAATTAATATACATTAATACATATTTTACAAACTTATTAATCATAGATTTAACTGGATTTTTGAGCTCTGACTAAATAGCAGTTGTAGACAAGTGTAACCTAAATAAAAATGATACATACACATTTGGTTTTTATCAAAGGATACTCATTTTAGAATTTTTATGAAATAACCCTAAAATTAAAATAATTTTGTTACACTAAAACCTTAAATTCATAATAATCTATTATATTAAATAAATAAGCATGTCATGTCTATATTATTTCAATTTAGTATATTACCACTCGTTGATTATTATTGAGTTTTATATGCATTTATAATTGATCATTTCTTCGGTAGATACAAATACTATATTCGTAGGTGTCATGGTTTAAAAACCCAATACTCATTTCAATTATTTAAACAATGATTGAATATTTTTAACAATTAAAAATTATTATTTAATGTATTATAAACAATAACTATAATATGACTGAATTACATTCAATTAGATTTTATAATATCGTATTAATAAATCCTGAAAAAATGCTTCCTGGACACCGGTGAAGGGGTTTTATGAATTACGATAATGATTTATTACTAATAATTGGGTAACACGATTGTATTTTTGACTGAGATAATACTTATTCGGCTTAAATATGACCTTAACTGACTACTGGATGTAGTCCAAGGCATTCATAACTGGTTTACGATCTACTTTGGATTCCAATATTTATTGAATAATACTTGTATTATCTAAAAATAAAATGTCATCATGTTTTGTATGATATAAAAATTTTAATTTTTACAAAATAAATAGGCAGTTGAATTATTTTCAACTAAAATTCACAAAATCAAAATAACTCTAAACATTCTAAAGACATTCATGTATGTCAATTATATATTTATTCTTTCTAATTTATTTTTATTTTTATTCAATGAATATTTATAGTTAGTTTTATAAATGTTCAATTCTACACTGCTATTATCATTTGTAATGTCAAATTTATGTTAAAAATTATGATGTAATTATCTTAATAATATACTGGATATGTTATTGTCTATATAATTTTACATCTAATTTCTAAATCAATAATTCTCTCATATAATAAAAAAAAATTCGAATACATTTATTTGGATAATTTAATTTTGTATTTTTTGGAAGAACATTAATTTACTCTTATTGTTTGAATTTTATGATTCGAACAATAAAATTGTACCTAATTTTTATTTCAATTTTAATTTGTTGATATCATTGATTTTAGAGCAATAAAAGATTTTATATTATATTTCTGTTGTTGAAAACTGATTTGAATCAAATTCTACGTAAACAATTACAGCAAATTCTAGTGGTTGCGTCCACTTAGGCATTATCGATTTGAACCATAGGCTGACATATCTATATATTCTAAAATCAATGATGTTTTACATTGGGTGAATTGAGAAAAATCCGTATACATTTCTAACCATTAAGTAAAATAATAAAAAAAAATTTTATTATAGTATATAAATTATATTATATTAACTTGGGGCTCACACCTTAAACAAAAAACAAAAACCTTCAACAGCCGCCTTCACCTACTTCGTCCGATTTTAAAGTCAAAATTACAAATACACACCAAGCTTATTATATATAAATCTCTCTTACGACCGATATGGTCATATGTAATCCAAATTTGGGGCTGTGCTAATCCGCACCATACAAGCATTCCAGTCAATCACCCTCCGTATGATAACGTCTGCATTTTGGTATGTATCCAACTCCTTACTACACTCTGACCTAAAAATCGAGTCAGTTGACCAATTAGCCACCAAACACTACAGATCTTTTTATTCCAAACTACCTTCCCATTCTAACCTGTTAGTATCGCAAATCTCATCCACTCAACCTATAAATCCCATCCATAGGCTCAAAAGAAAATATTGCAGATATTTGTTAATCTAAAATAAATTTACGTTGGGTTCCATCACTGGTTGGCCTCCCTCTTCATATTATTCAAATTTATAATAATGTAAATAAATTATCTAATTTACTTATTGTGCTGTCAGACACAGATTGTAAATATCCAATAATAAAAAAAAAAGAAAAAGATAAAAAAAAAAAATTATATTATTTGATTAATATCTATCAATTTTTTCAAACATAGAACGCATGTAATTATATAATTACCGTTTGTCGTAAAAATACACTAATTTACAATTTACAAATAACAATAAACTATGCTGGTTTATTAGTGTAAAATGTTTAAATGATTAATAAAAAAACATGAAAATGACTTCAATAATAGTTTTCAATTTTAATAATATGATATAATATAGTTTCTTTTGTTATAATTTATTAAATTTAATAACTATTATAAAAAGTAAAAAACAAAATGTTACGAAAATATTTATTGGATCATGTCTGTTTACGATAAATTTCTGAATTCTAAGAAAATTTCAAAATTAAAATTATTTTATTTTATTATAAATATTATTACATGATTTAATCTCAAACAGTACTTTTTATACTTTCATTCAACTTCGGTTTTCGTATCGTGTAAAGTACTATAAGTGTTTGAAAATTAATAAAAATTATGATATTTAATATATAAAACTTTTTTATTAAAAAATGTTTGTTTTAAAATAAGATCACTTATTCCTCAAATATAATTTGTAACAGATTGTGACAAAAATTCACTACATAAGCTATGTATACAAAGAAACTGTAACTTTTAATTTTGCAAAATAAAGTAAAATAATTTTTATGCTGTTATAATTAATATTTTATTTTTTTGTTTAAAGTATAAGATGGAGTTTAAACAATTCAAAGAATTTTCTTCGGAGATGATTGATTATGTCGGAAATTACTTGGAAAACATCCGAGATCGGTAAGCAATAATATTGATTATTAACACTTAATAAACAAACAAAAAATAAAAAAGGCGAAATTCCTAGGTCATGTAAGACTCTATCATTATGTAAGATATAATGCTGGGTGAATGGTATTGCTGTTTTGATCTTTTAAACTTAAAACCAGTGTACCATTATTCACGAAAAAACGATTTTGTGAAAGATGTCAAATGGATCAAATTAAACATTTAAATATGATATATTTAACATATGGATTGATAAGAAAATCAAGTTTATAGTAAATTAGGTGAAACTTTTAATGTTATAACTTTCCCCAGAAAAAAAGACATCTTAAATTTAGAAAAATCGAAAACTTCAAGTAGCTATAAACAGCACAAATTTCATTAAAATATTTTCAAACTATGAAATGTCTTTGAATAAAAACATTAATTTAGAAAAATTTTGAATTTATAAAAATAACATTGTCAAACTACCAACTAGAAAATATTACCTACCAGAAATCTTATATGATTGTGATGAGCCTTCTAGACGAAATCGTATATACAAACAAAAAAACCTGAAAAAAACCATAATAAAACTCCTCGTTTCACTCAAAATCTAAAATTATAAATATATATATGATAGTATACACTATGATGATACTATGATATTTCATTAGTACTTTATATTAAATAGTTTGTAATAGTTCAAAAACCAAACTTTAATGTATTTATATATGTACATATTAATATATTACCTAAAGACCATAATTTATTATAATTATAATATCGTTATATAAATTAATTAATAAATGAATGAATGCTTAGTCTGAAGTATTATTAAATGTATATAGAAAGTCAATAAAATCACGATTTCAACTCATTCAATGACACTCGTGGACTCCATAAAGTTTAACATAAATATAAGAGTAAGGAAAATTAATTTTTTCACAAAAACTTATTATTTGTAATTATATTCATTCAGTAATTCTATATTTATGTATTAATAATGAATTAAATTATTTTTCACTTGTTGACAAACTAATACTAATATTAAATATTCATCATCGGTGATTGTTCGTTGCAGGAAAGTATTGTCATCGGTAAAACCTGGTTATTTAAGACCACAATTGCCCGCAGAGGCACCCAATGACCCGGAAAACTGGAAAGATGTTATGTTGGATGTCGAAAAGTTGATTATGCCAGGAGTAAATATAATTTAATATTATACATATATTAAACATTATATACGTTTATACATAATGCATTATTTCTCAACAAATGTGTTTTACCGTGTGAATAGGTGACGCATTGGCATTCTCCTAGATTCCATGCTTACTTCCCCACTGCAAACAGCTACCCGGCTATGGTCGCCGATATATTGAGTGATTCAATTGCTTGCATAGGATTTTCATGGGTAAAATAATACAATATACATTTTTAACAAGCTTAACGAATTATCGATGTAAACAATTCATAGCCAAATATTAAAAATCAATTGAATTTTGAAAAAATAACTATAATGTTAATACAAAACGTAGTAAAAATATTATATAAATTAATAATTATAATCAAAATAGATAGCTTTAATTATTAACTTATTATTTAAGTACTTGGGTACTATGTAATTAAATTACTCGTTTTCTTGTTGATTTACCATCTACAACTAATGGTCGCAACTGCCATTAGGTATTGTTTTTTTACATTTCCTTGACGTGTTCAACACTATTAATTATAACACCGATCATTTAACCCATACATGAATTTTAATTAACTTTTTTGACCTAAAAACTTTATTAAATAACATAAAACAATTTTAAATCAATAGATTGACGGCTAATAGAAAATAATATAGATCCTTAATTATTAATCGTATTTAATTAATTTATGAATTACAGATATCAAGTCCAGCATGTACTGAACTAGAAGTGGTCATGATGGATTGGCTAGCCAAAATGATTGGCCTACCAGAAATTTTCCTAGCTTCTGCCGGCCAAGGAGGAGGTGGAGTTATTCAGGTAAGCATGTACTGCAACACGATTATATACCACTGATAAATTATTCATTATCTTGTATTTAAAATGTAAAACTGTGTAGGCTAGAACTTAAACAGATTTATTTTTATGGTTTAAATATAATCTTTTTATAGTTTATAAATAACATCTATAAGGACAAAAGACAAAATGTTATATAAGTAGCATAAAATTGTTATTAAATGAAAAAAATTGAACAAACGTGAACAAACTGACAATTGATTTTTGAGGAAAATTTATCATTGCGTTTAAATATGTACACGAATAATAACTCTAATCACATCCGTTCTAGTAGCCTAAAGGCTACGTGTATATATACACGGATCTAATTATTTTCCACCCCTACTCGCTCGTCGCCTGAAATATGTATTCAATTCAAAAAGCGAATCAACGAAGGACAAATAGACTATCACAGCAGGTTCAGTGTCAACAACTTTTTTACGATTATTACTTACCATCAAGAATTTTACCTTTCACAAAACCGCCCGCTTTGCAGTTTATTCATTATGATTATGTATTTATTAATTAGTTCCACGAAATTTTTGAAGATTCAAAAGCATTTACATACACACGCATTTTACATTTACTTATTTCTGATATTTTTGGGGGGGGGGGGGGTCGCGAATCTTGTGTGTGTACAACAAAACCATTTACGTACACACAAATTACTGTAGAACGTCCGTTTATCGGAACATATTTTAACAGTGATATTGACAAAATGTTATCAATCGTTTACGATGCTGCTGCGAAATCAATTCCGAGCACCGGTACGACGAAAAAATAAAAAAGGAAAATTAAAAACATCGTCTGACACTCGCGGATTTTTACATTTATTCGTGTCGTTTTTTTTTTTTTTTTTAACCGTAAAACGGTGGCGAACTTTAATACGTTTCGGTGAAGCTAAAACGTACAACCGTTTCCCCATCGATGACACGAAAAGTCAATACTAATCCGTGCAAATACACACCGGCTGTATTTAAAATATCGTGAAGCAGCGGCTCCACACGATATGTTGACGGGTTAGGACGTGCCCTTGAGATGTTTTCCAATCTTGAATCGGCGCGCCACTTAATTTAATTTACTTACCTTTACTTGTTAAAAATACTTTGTGTTCGCGCGCAGGGGACGGCCAGCGAGGCGACGTTGGTTGCGTTGCTAGGGGCCAAAGCGAGGGTGCTGCAGCAGCTGAAACAAGCGAACCCGACACTGGTGGACGCGGACATCGTGCCCAAGCTGGTGGCGTATTCGTCCGAGCTGTCCCACTCGTCCGTGGAACGGGCCGGTCTGCTGGGCGGCGTGCTGCTCCGCGCGCTGGCCACGGACGGCGAGCACAAGCTCCGCGGCGACACTCTGCGCGAGGCCATCATCAAGGACCGCGCGGACGGGCTCATCCCGTTCTTCGTGGTGGCCACGTTGGGCACCACTAGCTGCTGTTCGTTCGACCGCCTGGACGAGATCGCCGAGGTGGGTGTCGACGAGAACATATGGGTGCACGTGGACGCCGCGTACGCCGGTAAGTGTACACTAATGCACTACTATTGCTAATGTGAGCTTAATGCTATGCACGTACATATAAATCATGGTCACGTTCGTCGACTGTTTTTTTTAACGTTGTATTACATAGCATAGAAGCAATGATAAATTCGTGATGTTTCTCTCGATCAATGGTTAAAATAATTGCCCCAAGATTACAAAAAAAAAAAAAAATCTAAAAAATGCAAAATTAAATTAAGTACGTTAGATTTGCGTGTTATTGAAACACATTTTTAATGAGAAGATCGTTTAGGACGATTAATAAAAAAAATTATGTCTACGTCCTAATTATTAAGATATAGGCAGTTATTGTTCCAATCGCGTGTGCTTCGCAGCGCGTGTATATTGCATGTAAGCCAGTGAAAAATGTCCACCTTAAAGTAATGAAATGTACAGACTATATAATTATAATTTAAAGTCATACTTTAAAATCGGTGATAACAATCTTCAGTTATATTAAAATACGTATATTAAACAGTATTATTTCTTTTAGACAAGGTTCTACCAAACGAAGTATTCGTAGAAACGCCCGTTTACAATAATGTTATTAGCTCCATGCTTCAAAACTATAAATATAGGTATCCTAGGATGACTATACGTCCCGTTTAAAACGGGATTGTCCCTTTATTGTATAATTATGTCCCGTTGTCCCAACAAACTTTAATCGGGATGCTTTTTGTCCCGTTTTTAGAATAGGATCCCGTTTTAATCCCGTTACTTCCATAAAAATTCTAAACCGAGATTAAAAGAAAAAAAACATGTCATATAGTATAAATATATATATATTTGTACTACGAACTCATGTGTGAGACTTCTAACGAAATTGATATTAAATACGAATAGTTTACCAATATACTGTACTATTTATAATCAACGATGTTCGGTATAAAAGGTATATTAGGTACCTATATTAATCGAAAAAATCGAACATAGTCGTGCAGTACATTGCAACGATATTGTGTTATTAAAGTTATAGCCACTGTATATCAATTATTTTTATTTAAATTGTTGTGAATAGTTAGTGTTATTACTTTTAATGTTTTTTTTAAAATTCCTAAAAGGAAATATACGTTCACTGTACTTTTGCAGATTAACTAATGCAGTAACAGAAAGAATATTTTTAATCACAAATATTTTATAGACGGACGAAAAAAAATTGTTTTCTCGTATTAACTGTCAAAGCAATAATAATTCTTAAAAATAATTTTAATAAATATTTCTGTAATGATTTTTATTTTTTTTTTTGTTAACACAACCAAAACTATTAAATGCAATCAGTTCATCAAAAAAATATATTGTCAAAGGATGTAATGAAAAAAATTATGAATAATCGACATCAACTTAATAAAAATAAAGAATATTTTAAGTAATTTTTTTTAATCTCATAGCAAAAAAAGAATGCACATCAATGTTTTATTAAGATATTAAACTACCTTATTAAAAATTATTTTTATTGTATATAATATAGAAGTTAAAAAAAATGTCGTCTTTTTTTTTTTTAGAGAACATATTTCTCCCGTTTTTTTTCATAAATATGGTCACCCTAAGATATCCTGATATGGAATAGTACACTACGAATATAATAAAAATATTATAAACACCAATGAATGAAAACTATGATAAAAAAAATTCTTTTTAAAAATTCACTACCCTTCAAAATGTGCCTAACCACCCCTCGAACCATCTACCCTATCGGCTTTTTATAACCGAAACTGGAATGTAGAATCGAACGCAATAAGACAAGATTGTGCATACGGTTGAGGCTGTATTGCGCAAGGTTAGCAACGTTGTCGGGTCAACCTGAAAAAAAAACTATAGGATCTGTGAAATGACTAGAATATGATAAATATTACGAAATAAATACAAATCCCATCAAATCGTAATAAAAACGTTTTAGTTTCAATATTAACAAGTGTTTTCGAATGTTTTAGGATCAGCGTTCGTTTGTCCGGAATATCGTCACTACACGAAAGGTGTCGAATTGGTCGACTCGTTCAATTTCAATCCACACAAGTGGCTTCAAGTCACCTTCGATTGTTCAGCAATGGTAATAATTACATTCAAATTGTATAGAAAAATTCATAAAATGTTATATTAATAAATTGTTTGCGACTAATTTGTATAGATAATTTATAGATTTAATAATATATGGATTAAACTAGTGAAAACTGATGTAGGTTTCTATTAAACTACTATAGAATCAAATATAATATTCAAATTTTTTAGTGGCAAATAATCTTAATTTTTGTTTACAATAATATATGTCATACATAAATTTATAATTGTTATACAGTATTAATAGTTATTATTTTTTACTTAAGTGGCTAAAAAATCCAAACCACGTGATAAATGCCTTCAACGTAGATCCGCTTTACTTAAAACACGAACTCGAAGGACAAATGCCAGATTACAGAGTAAGTACCTAATAATGTAATTAATATTGTACAGAAACTTAAAAACATGCATTATTATCGTTGAAGCTTGTGAGTTCGCAATGTTTAATATATAAGCTATGAGCTATACATATTATGCATAGTAATTAGGTTTAAGTTATATAATACCCAATAAATGTTTAATGCTCATTAGATAATAGATGATAGGTACTAATAGATAATATATATATATATATATATATATATATATATATATGCTATATGTTTATTATTTACTATTTGCAATTAATTTTTATTTGACCAATTTAATATAGGTAGATAATTTTATTAATTTTCGGTAAGTCCTTTATAAGTACTATGTTTTAAATTAATCAAGATTACTAAAAGAATACCTAATAGATAATATAAAAAATATTTATCTACTCAACTATTAATGGCTATTAATAAAAAGATGATATCACGATTTTATTATTAATATCTAAATTATTTATTTTTAAAAATCTAGTAATTATTATGTCGGTAGTAATTATTTCAGTAGAATAGTAACGAAAGTACTCATAACTAGATTAATGTAATTTAAATACCAAATGTATGTACAAATTATTTAACGAAGTATCTTATGTCAAATTTCATGTTTATTTCCTTCTCAAGCATTTTCTATTGTTACTTCTCAGAAAAAATATAGTTAAACCTCTAATGAGTAATTTATTTAAATCTACCTACTCTCAAAAAAAACATTTTAATGTTTCTTAGATTTTCATGCTATAATTTTATAATATATTAATATTGACGTATTTATCTAATCATTTTAAGAAAAGAAAGCTGTACATTAAAATTAATTATAAAAATAAATATTACATATATTCACGTTTTTTTATTAGCATTGGCAAATTCCATTGGGAAGACGTTTCCGATCGCTAAAAATGTGGTTTGTATTTCGATTAATTGGTGTTGCAAACCTTCAAAAATCTATCAGGAAAGATATCAATCTTGCTCTAGATTTCGCCAAACGAGTGGAAGAAGATCCAAACTTTGAACTGTTTAACGAAGTTACTATGGGATTGGTGTGCTTCAGAATTAAGGTAATACATGTGAAAGAAAAGTAAAAATATTATTGTAGGTTAGTACTTTGTTGGATAAAAATATTACCCGTATACCCAATTATACTTGTATGCGTTCAAAATATTATAAAAATCCAAAAATAAAATAACCTTAAAAACTATTTATATTGTAGTTTAATTTTTGACATCATTAAAATATAATATTTAAAATGTAAATAGTATAAAACATAATAATAAATACGAAAACAATTTCGTCTTAAAAATTAATAGCAAAGTGACATTTGCATACCATACAAATAAATACATATTATATACAATTTTAATGAACATTACGGCTCTATTTAACTCTTAATTAACTTGTTTTTACTTATTTAGGGATCCAATGAACTCAATGAAACGTTATTGAAAGAGATTAATGATCGAGGCAAAGTGTACATGGTTCCTTCAAAGGTCAAAGGAACATTTTTCTTGCGAATGGCTATTTGCTCTAGATATACACAAATCGAAGACATCAATTTCACTTGGAACGAAGTGCAAGAATCCGGCAAAGCTGTACTAAGTAAACAGTAAAATAAGTTTACTTAGAGAGTTGACAAACAATTTTATTGTAAAAATAATATTAAAACACCTATTATTCTCAATATTTTTGTTTTTAAAATACGGAAATAATTTAAATAACATTTCAAATCTATAAAATATTTTTATGATATTTTATACAAAAATATTTCACTTCATCCAATAATATTAGTTATTAATTAATAAATTGTAACTAGAATTTACTATTACTCAGAAATTCCATGACATTTAATCATCCATAGATATTTAGAATAATAGGTATATGTAGATTTTAAGCTATATAAATCATTTTCAGTGGTAGTTTAAATTAATTAATAAACAAAAATACATAAATGTAGACCCAAATTTTAGTTATATAGGTACTCATATATTATACTTTTTTAGATGAGAATTAGCCATTTATAGTATCATTATAGATATTTTTAATATGAAATATTTGTTTGTCAAACTATTATCAAATTATACATAAATTTAATTTATATTCAATAACCTTATTCATGAAAAGTTAGTAAAGAAACAAAATGTGTTCTTATATAAAAGCAATATTGAATAAAATTATGAATTAATATTCAACATTCTATATCATATTTACAAATAATAAGTATGCTAACAATATGTTTATTTAAAATAGTTTTGATTATTAAAATATTGTTGAATTTGATGTATCTACCTATTTTAATAATTATTTATAAATATTAATTTAATTTTTATCAGAAAAAGATAAAATAATAAAATTGGTTGTTTTTATCTAACACAGTTCATACAGTGTAACTGCAAAATAGGAGTTGTATACAATCTAGTAAAACTTAAATTGTTGCAATCACATTAATTTGACTGTTGCAAAGTGATCGAGAATAATATTTTTCTATTAGTTTTTTTTTTTTTAATATTTACATTATGCCACAGAAATTACAATAAATAGAATATATAGTTAGTAGTGTTACAGTTTACTATATCACATATTTATTATTACAACATATAAATGAGATAATGAAGACAACCAATTTTACTGTAGCTTCTTTTAAATTATACTAATCGATATTTTAATTAATAAAAGTAACAATTATACTAATGTATACATTTTTAAATGTTACTATAAATTATTTATACAACTTTTATTATATAATTAATACATAGTAATAGTGTTGTATTTGAGAATATAATCAAAGTTAAATTATTATTTATTATAATAATGTATATTGTTAATATTACCTTTATGGCTATACCTCAGCCATAGTATTAAATTATACTACAATATAATCAAAAATAATCAAACAGTTAACTGTGTTATTCATTTATAAGTTTTATTGACATGTCATTAAATTATGCAATTAAACATTTTAACACTTGATTTTCCTTTCCACCAGTATTATATTATCTTACATCCATTATAATTATATCCTCTGAGGTCAAGGATATACAAAAAAATTAATATATTTTTAATGATGACAATTTAATACACATATTAAGTAAATACCTGTATTTAATATAATGTATTAATTATTTTATCAAGTCCTAAAATCCATGTTGTGAATAATACAGTAAAAATTATATTACGGAATTGTATTTTTTAAGCAAATAGGTATTTTGAAAGTCCATTGTTTAGAGATTTTTTGTGGAAACATTAAAATATATTTATTTTGATAAAACACAGAACACTGATTCAAAAATGTTTATGAACATAATAATTTAAAACATTATTTGATTTAATGTCTACTTTGTGTTTCTGTTATAAGATAGAAAGGCAGTTAGAAATACCTACCTAATTAAATAGGTAAATGAAATTAAGAGTGATAATTAAGTAATTAATCTAACCTTTTGGAGAACAGATCAATAAATTCAAAAATTTTTGAAAAGTAATTGAATCACTGATGTAATAAAATATCTAGTTATATCACAACCTACAATACATAAAATTGCAATACACAACAAATAATATATGATGTACCTAGTCTGTTCTATGAAAGTACATTGTTTTAAGTAATTTTTATTACAAAACTTCAATTGTTTAATATAATGATAAAAAAATATCTCTTATCTCTATGACCTTATGGAAGTGAACCAATAATTAAAAAAAAATATGATTCATCAAACAGTGAACAATGATGATGGTCTAAAAAGATTATCAAATTTCAGTTATTAAAATGGTAATATATATTTATGTTATATTATGGTAATTATATGTATTATTAAGACAGATATATAGAACACTTAAAACATTGTAACATTTGAGATAAAAATAAAATAAAAATATCTTAAATTAAAATTTACATAAACTAAATGCCAACATTTTTTTTGCCATTGATAGATGAAAACAACACACTAAAAATAAAATAAAAATGGATAGTAACAGCAATACCCCAACATAAGAATACATATAAAATTTTACTGAAAAAACATGGTTTAGAGAATTACCATACTTCCAGATAGGATTTCTTTACATTCTTGATAATTTACATATTTTTGTGTTATCTGCTAAGTGACCATGACAGTGTTGGACAGTTTTATCTTTGCTCCATATCAGTTATTGAAAATGTGTCTATATATAAGTAATTAAAATAATTGTATTGAATAAAATGTAACATATTGGTTAACGAACGACTAAAAACTGGTTTATAAAAATAATTTGAATCGAACAATGTATTGAATGTAAAATAAGATCTCTTCAGTATATTCAATAATCGTACTGAACAAAATTACAACAAACGACCTACTGGTACAGTGTTATCTCAGTGAACTCAGTTTTTGGTGCCAAAATTAAATGTTGAAACGTAATAGTTAGTAAAATAAACCAAAATTTGTCGGTTGAATATGATGTTACCTATATTTACATTTGAGTGCATTTTAAATAATTGAGCGATGACGCTTTACCGATGGAAAATAAAAACGAAAATGGTCGTTTCTGTAAGTACATTAAGGGGTTTCATAAATACGCGTCTCTATTAATTAAAACTGAAAAATTCGTCGGTCGTTTGTTCGCCGATATTCGCGGGTTACACCGATCGCGTAAAATCGACTCTGCGTGAAAAATAAATCGCAAAATCCTCTGACAACCGAACCCGTAGATGTCGTAGCTACAATAAATGTTAGAGCAAATCTTAGAGTGTTGGCCCTCTTAAACATTGTAAATTAACGGAAAACTAATAAATACCGGGTCTGACATCAACTATTCCGATAACAGTAATAATAATAATCATGACACAACGCGATAACACATTGCTGGTTTATCACGTGGAATTTCAATGCTATTTTTTTTTTTTTTTTTTTGATTAGAAATGTCATGAGTATTTTCCTTTTTTCTTCTCATTATCATAGTAGAACGTAGTCGTCAACAATAAAATAAAAACTTTTTACTGTTTCAGTATTGCATCAATATATTCTACTCCACTATTCATTGTTACATTTCGGCACAGTTAACACAACCAACAAGGTGCAATATATAACAGAATTTATGTTTGCGTTAATAAATACATATATATATATATATATATATTTATATATTAGTATATTATAATAGCTTATTAACACAGCAAAATATGAACGTTTGATTAGTATTTGTATTGTTTTTGATAAGTTAGAGACGGTGTTCAACAGGAACAATAAATATGGCTTGTCAAACAAACAGTTCTGTTGAAGTATTGGATCCGATTAAAGAGAACTATGACAACTATCTACTTATCGATGTTGGATCAAACATGGTGAACAAGAAGTTCAGCAGGGACTTAGAATCAGTTTTGCAACGAGCAAAAGATTCAGGTGAATTTGACATTCTTAATGTACATATAAATATTCCACATTTTATACATTTCACTTTAAGTTTCGAGTACCTTATATTTTATTTGTTTGTTTTAAACCTTTTTAGAAGTAATAATGAAATTGGATTGACTATAGTGTATCTAATTTTATATTTTTAGTTCTACTGTCTGTTTACATTACATCTTGTCACTTTACAGGTGTTCAAAAAATAATTGTCCCTTGCACATCACTCAGAACAAGCAAAGAAGCATTGCGATTGGCAAGAATATATCCGGGAGCGTTATACTCCACAGCAGGTATTATTACATTCATATTCTATACATTTTTTTATATTTTTTTTTTTTTTTTTGTGTACTAATGATTTAAACGATTAAAGTAATGAAACTATGTTTGTTGAGTATGATAACTATCTAATGACCTAAATTAATATACACTTACATCATGAGTTAGCAATTCAGTAATATAGATTACTTATAAAAAAAGTGTGGGTGGGATAAACTGTTAGTATTGATTTATCAACTAATTCTTACTATATATATATATATATATATTTAACATATCTCAATTATATTTTATGTTTTTGTTTGAAAAGATAATTAACATAACTAAGCATTTTATATTTTTAGTCTATAGTTTATTTAAATGTATATTTTTAGAGAATAAATTATTTACACAATAGATGGGATATTTATTGATGTATTTCCAAAAAATAATAAAAACTATAATAAAATCTTGTGATGAAAATATTAATTTAGTTGTCTGTATATTTTCTTCTAGTTATATTAATTTGTAGATATACTCACTATTACTAATATAGATGAAAGGATAATATTTTGTAAATTACACTTATTCATGTACTTAAATGTTTACAACAAACAGGTATCCATCCGCATGAAGCAAAATCTTGGGAAGATTGTTATTACAACGAACTGAAAGATATTGCTAAAAATCCAGAATGTGTGGCTATAGGTATTTGTGGTTTGGACTACAACAAAGATTTTTCATCTCCTGATATACAAAGAAAAGTTTTTGAACAACAGGTAATTTTTCAAATATGTAATTATTGAACTAATACATATAGCTTATCTCAATAATTAAATATGAATTGTATGATTGTCATTAGCAGACATACGGCCCCACAGGTGAATAATATTATATTACTGCATGTTGTGATTGAAAAGTTTTTCCTATTGAATTATTTTTTTTCAACCGCTTTGATTTTGTTTTATGTATATATATATATATGTACACACAGATATCTTTGGCTATTGAAATGAATAAACCAATTATGTTCCATCAAAAAGGAGCACATGAAGATTTTCTATGTATTATAAAAACTCATATGCCATTGATGATACCAGCAATCCTGCACTCGTTTACTGGTTCATTTGAAGAAGCTACAGACTATATTAACTTAGGAATGTACATTGGAATAACAGGCATGTATTCTAACATGTTTTACAATATGTTAATAATTAAAAGGTAATCATCTTATAAAATTTGGTTTAATTTTATTTTCAGGTGGTTTGTGCAAAGATAGTTCTGGTAGTGGAATCAAAAAACTATTGAGTGCAGGCATACTTACACTAGATAGGATATTAGTGCAGTCAGATTCTCCATTTATGTATCCAAATGCTAGGGCAGCAAATCTTTCTGAAGCAGTGAAATCTAGTCTCACACAAAGGTATTTTACAATAAACTATAAGAAATTGTTTGGTTATAAATAATTGATATTGCAAGATGAAATAATTGGAGAGTTGGATTTTGATGAAAATATTTAAATATAAATATTTTTTTTTTTTTATATATTTAATTATATTTAATACAAATAAAATGTATAATAATTTGCTTATATTTTATTTTTTGCAGATCTCTTGGGTTTTTACAACGCTATTGTACATTTCATCGTAATGAACCATGTTCATTACCTATTCTCGTTGAACTATTAGCTGGTCTGATTGCTAAAAAGCCTGATGAAGTGGCTTTGGCAACATCAATTAATGCTCTTAAAATATTTGGAATGTCATAATTTTTTTTTTGACTTAATACAGTTTTATAAATATGTGTTGACTTTTATATTACATTTATAATTTATTTATGTATTTATTATTGTTATTGTTCATCTAGTAATTATAACTCATAATTAAATTTAACTTATAATAATTTATAGTCTTATTCAGACAATGAAAATATATTGTGCCATTTAACAATGTTTGTTATAACCACTGTATTGATAAAACTAAATAATTTTACATTTATTTTTGTAATAACTGTTTTGCTTGTATTTATCATGACATAGTTGATAGTATTTTCCCATAGATTTAGAAATAATATTAACTAAACATATTGATTTTTTTTCAAAGTTATATACAAACTCAGCATTGATAATGAGCTACGATTCTCGTTTATATATAATAATAATACTGATAAATGCTCACTGAAGAAATTAATAATTCCACATAGAGCAACCAATATTTGTTCTACGAGTAAAACACAACAACTGAATATGTACAATGTAAATTGTACATACACTTAAACATTATGGTGTCCCTGGTATTTAATTGATCCCTAAAAATATTGTTTTGTTTTATAAGGTATAAATTGTACAGAAATAAAAATGAAAATAATTAAAATACTAATTTTGTATATTTCAAGTTATGAAAGGAACATAATATATAACATTAAAAATTAATTGTAAATTGTATGTAATTAAAATTATTATTGAAAAATTTAAGTAAAATATTTATAGGTAGTAAAAAATTCAAAATTAAACAAATACAAATTAATTTGTAACCTAGCCTATGTAACATTAGAGGCTAATTTCAAGTCTTTTAATTACTTTATCATAAAACGGTTCTAATTCATGATATTCAACATCCAACTCTTCCAATTTTTCCACAGAATCAGCTTTCTGAATTTTTTCAACTTCTTCGGCTGGCATTGCTAACATAAGTTTCGTTGGCTTTTTCTAAATATAAGTTATAGATATTAAACTGCCTGAAACTACTTTTTTTTGTTACATTATACATACTTGAAACGGCCAATTGAGTCGTGTTTTTACAAATTTCTTGTACTTTTCATATTCATCTTTATCAAGTCTATTAGTAACTTCTAATAGTATAATTTCTATAACCCGACGAACTTGTTTCTGAAAAAAGTAGTACACATTCTAATTATAGTTGACTTTATGAAAGGTAACGTCTGAAAAGATAAGATTGAACACAATACTAAACAATTTAATCCATCTTAATAATATTAGATGAAAGATAATTTATTTTTAAAGTTTTATAATTTCTTAAAATAATGCCAGGTGTGTTTTCGTAATGAACATATAAATATTATATAAATATTTATAAAATTATATACATTACTATAGGTACCTGATTAATTTTGTAAAGACTTTTGAATTCTTCAACCATTTCTCGATAATTTAATTTTTTTAATTTTTCTTTATCAAAAGTTTTAAGTTTGTGAAAGTTAGTAGCATCAACAAAGTCTCGAACTAGTTGAAATTCTTCATTTGGACTTTCAACTAATAAAAAATAATTATATAATTTAAACCTCAAAAAACTTTAAACTACTAAACTATTTAGAAATTAAATTATACCTGTAATATCAATAACATCTGATTTAAAAGAATAATGTTTATAAACTGAATTTAGTAATTTTGCACATAATCCTTTTCTTTGAAATGGTGGTAGAATTAACATTTGACTAATTCTTGGGCGGATTTTATCAGGGTAGGCATAATATTCATAAATAGTTGAATATCCAACTGGTGTATAACATGTATCACCATTTTCATTTTTGAAAAGTTCATACCTAAAATAAAATATTTGGTTGAGCTATAAAAATTTATTATTTTACAACCATTAGATGCTAAAACAATTTTAATTATTAATACTTATGAATTATGAGCAACTAAACTTTTATAAATTTCCAATTAATATTGGTTATTTATTTATAGGAGATTGTATTTTAATAGTTCAACATGGATAATAGCAATTTTACTTATTAAAAGTGTAGGTAGAACACTTAATTCTAGAGTTTTCTTATTGTTAAATATCTAGTATATTTTAGTAATATCAAAAACTTGTATGTTATATCCGAGTAATAGTTAAAAATAGAGATGTTAAAATACGGTATTTTATTTATTTTTTGTATAATACCATATTATATCAGTATTATACCGTATAAAACTTTGCAGTACCTTAAATTACAAGGAATTTAACAAAGGTTATCATCCCATTGTTAACTGTGAAATATAAATTATTTTAAAATGGAATAATTGAAAAAAATAGCTAAAAAGTTAAATAAATTAAAAAAACATATAATACAAGAATTAATCACCAAAATAATATTTAATCGTGCTATCGATTTGCAATTATGATATAGGTAACATACATATGTATGTTATACATAGAAACACATATTTTTTAAATAGAAATAAAGAGAAAACTATACTTAATACTTTAATAGTTATATACTATCTCATTGTAACCATATATTTACAATATTTGAATATTATAATAGTACAATAAATTGATTTTAGTCATTTTTAAACACCTGAATTCTAAATTAACATGATTACAATAATATAGTATATTTTAATTTTTATAATAATATTATACTTTATTGGAGATCCATTCTATAAGTACAACTAAAAAATTAATAGTTGGGTTACTAAAAATAACACTTTAATTTTTCTTTTTTATACCATATGTATAAAATAATTTTATACCATGAGTATAATACCTTGTATAATACAATTTAATACCACTATATAGTAAAAACTCACATCACTAGTTAAAAATGATACTTCTGACATCATAATTACTTTTGAATTAGTATAAGACATTACTACAATTCATCTAGTCAATCTGCTTATCTTTATCACGAAGTATTTCCATTTAATTATTACTATTTATATTTAATATATTTTTTTCTAAATAATCTAATAAAATATTTAATAGAAAGTTTTATCTTACATTATAAATATCTTCCATTTAGAATCATCATAGTCAATAAAATTGGAAGAATCAATGTACCATAGTACAAATGTCTGTAACTGATTAAAATACTCTTTAAATGCACTGTTTTCATCTTCAGTTACATAAACTTCAAATTTTTTTTCTTCTCCATCAAAATCTATCAAGTTAAAAAAAAAATAAATCAATAAATGTTTAAATTTATAATCACAGATCTTACTTAAAATAAATTGGTCAAGTTGATTTCCAAAAGGTTTAAATGACGATTCATCTTCTAAACATTTTTCAAATACATCTATGTTGGTAAGATAATCAGGAGTAATGTAGTCTTTAAGTTTCTCCATAATATTATCTGGCTGTAAAATTTAATTTCAAAGAACATAAAAAAAAATATTAAATTAAAATTTTTATTTCTTCATTGAGTTGGACAAAAAATTTCTAGGTTAAAAAAATTGTTTGATTCAGTTCGCATTAAGTTAAATTAATGTTTGACCCATCATAACTATTGGTAACATTACCATGTTTTGGCAAAATAATAATTTGAAGTTGATATTTAATAGAAAAATTGATTTATCTATAAAATATATTTTCATTTCTTCAATAGAAACTCCAAGTTAGAATTTTTGAAGTAAATACCTTAAAATTTTAATACTGATAAATTATTTTAATGATAAAAATAGCAATAGCACAATAATTCTAGATATCTAAGACATTAAAATGAATGAATTAACTTTATTTGCAAATTATTTTATACTATAATATTCAAATTAACTTTTAATATAAAATTATTATTAAAAAAAAAAAAAAAAACTATATTTTAGCAATAATTATTATAACAGAATGTGAATTTGAAATATTATTTTCTTGTTATATTTTTTAATTTATAACCAATATATTATATATGTTAGAAACTTAACACTTTTATAAATATAAAATAAGGTTAATATATATCTTTATAAACTTGAAATTATATAAAATAAATGTTTGTTAATTAAATTTATACAAAAATTAACTTTTTAACCTAACCTTCTATTATAAGTAGACTAGTTGTCAATTTACTACAATCTGATACATCTAATACATATATTTTTAATAACTTAAATAATTAAAAAGTTGGTTTTATACTTACATTTACACCATATTTTTCTGAATCCACTTTAGATGTGTAGGTAATATTTATATATAGTTTAAGATAACTTGCAGTATAATACATTTTTACCACAAGATCTTTATAACCAAATATTTTTTCCCCTGAAGAAAAATAATAGTTTTACAGATACAAGGTTTTAATTTAAATATTTTTATACTTACATAATTCCAAACACTTGATAAGTCATTTCTGGATAAAATGCTATTTTTGGATCATTAATATCACTAGCCTTACGAACTGTAAGAAAAAAATAATGAGTTAAATGCAATATATTGTCTAGAAAATAAAAATTACCCAATTTTAGTTCTAAAGCACTATTACTGCTGACAATAAATTGTTCCATAGTTAATGACTAATGAGTTGAAAATCTTGAGATGTGATCTAAAATAAACAGAAGGAAATTATTGGGTTGAAATTAAATGCACAAAATACAGTATTCATGGTAATTGGCTAATATTTATAGAAATCTATTTAATATATAAATAAATAAATGCTTAGCCTGGAGTTATATTTGTTAAGTACTACCAGTTTCGAATTAAAAATTTATTGTCAAGTATTCATAATTAATAAAATCACGACTATATAGTCTTTGTATAAACTTGACAACAAACTTTTAATTCAAAACCAGTCTTACTTTGTAAATATAATAATTTTTCAGGCTAAACATTTATTTATTAAGCTATTTATTATTTTATTTCTATACAGAAACTATTTTTTTAATTTTAATTTAATTTTTTATTATTTTAATATAAATAAAATTTACTACACAACTATAAATGGTAATTAAAATGTTTTACTAGATCCATGATGGAGAGATTAATAAGTATAAAAGGTCAGAAAGGAGTTCAAATTATTTATTATGTTTTAATTGAAGTGAAAATGTGTACATATTGAAACAACTATAAATCTGATGATGGTAATATGGTTTAGATAAATATTAAATGTAAAAATATCTATAAATACTTTAGAAAAACGTGTAAATCCTAAACCGAAAATTGAGAAATGAAAGTCAGCATTAAATCAATACCTAAATATGTCTAAAGAAATCAATTAAAAGCCACTGGCGGCAGAAGAAACACAAGGAAAGACGCGGCATCGAACAGAGTCCCGTAACATTTATATAAAGTATTTTCTTCGGGCTGTGTTGGCGAACAGTGAATCCAGAGTTCGGATCGACGATTATTTCGACACATTCGTTAGAATTCCATACCACAGTTCACACCAAGTGGCTTTTCGCACGGCATAAAACAATACATGAACAAATAGAAAACAAACAAAACGATTTACGTGTGTGCAAGCAGTCTTGTTCGTTTTTCAAAACGATGTGCGGCGAACGGTACAAAATGAAATACAAGGAGAAAGTGATGTCCGCGTCGACCGAGAGACGGAAATTAGTTATCGGCAGTCGGTGAGTAAACTGTAGCTGCGGTGCGGGTCGTCTAAACCACGAAAGAGTGACGGAAACACCGAACAAAAAAAGACAACGGTAATCGGTAAAAATTGGCGGTCTGTCGAACGGCTATAAACACAATAACCCAACTACGCGGGGTCTTTATCGCGGGTGGCGCGACAGCCATTTCGTCCTAGAGCCTTCTCGAGTCCCATAACACTAGTTCCACCAACAACTTGTTCGACTGATTATGGCGGCAATAACATTTGATCAAATATGTCCAACGAGTGATAACGCTCGCGAAAGTCTTATTTACGCAACAAGAAGTGTTTGAAATAAAGAAGTCCGTAACTAGATTTCTTAGTCAATGATCAATAAATTCAATTTAGGTATAGGATTAGTTATTTTATTTGCACATACATGGGTATTAGACATGACCAACAGGCTTTGGTAATGTAGAAATGACAACAGAAATTTCACTTTTCCCTCTATGACATTTGTATGATATTAGATGTGCATATTACTTCTTTACTTTTTAATGTGATTGACCGTTGGACATGAACTTTTTTAACTTGATATGTGAACGGACTTGTCTGCCTATCTATACTTCTGCGGAGAGGCAACATGACTCCGGATATTCACAAAGTGATTTCATTGCCGACTGGAAGTTTATTGGAAACGTGTATCATGTGAATAAAATGCTCTCTTAATATAGGATCTAATTTTTGAATAATTTAAGGTTTTTCAAAAAGAATGAACAGTATAATTAGATCATGTTAATTATTTATTCTCTTCTACAACTTATTCATACATTTTGTATCTACCAGTTCTTTATTCTTTAAAACTAATTGTTATTTGATGATTTAAAAAACATTTAAGTTTTAACTGACATGTTTCTATAAAAGCTATACAGATAGTTTATATGCATACAAAAATTATATATTGACTTGAACATTTTTTTTTTTTGCTTTAGAAATAATTTTAAATAAGTGAAAAAAATCATTTTTGTATATCAGTATAATGAATGAACCTATTATGTTGGAGAAATTTCCCACGCTAAGTCCAAGCAAAGATTTTAAATCTTGGAAAGGATTTATTTTATTAAATGTAAGTTAATTTATAAATAGTAAGTTTAATGAGACTTAATACATTTTTTACCAAAATAAAAAATATAACGAAATAATATATTTATAAAAAAAAAAACTAGAATTTAAAAAAAAATGTCTTAACTTCTTGAAAGGTTGAATGTAGAAAAAATATTTTAAATATGATCAATGGTTAATTTATAAGACTATTGATAGTACTATTCATAATTGTAACTACTAATATTATTTAAATATATTATATATATTTTTAGATGTATGATAGTGTTTACATAGAGATATCTTGCCCTAATATACCACAACTGGACAATTTAGAAGTACATATTCCTGAATTTAAAGAATTAAAATTTGATCAATTTAATTTAAAGAAAACAGTAGAAACAGTAAGTTAAAATTATATATATTCAATACCAATTTAAAAATGTCAAAATGTTATTTTATTAACTGTGGCGGTTTTACAGGGAAGAGGGTCTGAACCCCCTCACAGGTCATGCATTTAGGTTGTGATTTATTATATTTTATATGTGGATATAATATATCCTATGGTTATAAGTACGCTTATATATTTATATATAAATCGGGTGATTTCAATTGTAAGTTCTGTAACTTATAAGTCGTATATTTGAATGTTTATTACAGCTATAGCCTATTTAGTTATTAATATTTTCCTTAATTAATGGGTTGAAAGTTTTTTGTCATCATATATGTTAAAGGACCCCACCTAGAAAAAATTCAAATAACTGCCATTGATTATTAATTTCAATTTAATTAATATTTGTAGTACAAATTATAAATATACTCAAATATTCAATAAAATATAATTATATTGATAAAAAAAGAAGTAACTCACATAAATATTTTCTTTGTCTCATATATTGTAAACTTTTCTTTCACTTCCAAAATTTAGTTAAGAATATATACATTTGTATAAAATAGATAGAATTTTAATATTTTAATAGTTTGTTAATAAATTAATAATTTATACATTGTACTTATTTTTTAGATTAAAAAAGAAACAAATTCATTGCCAGAGTTTTTAAAGGAATTTATCTTAGTTTTGGTAACATAAATTATTTTATTTTATCCTATAATTTATTATTGTGTCTTAATAAGACTTAACAAATGATTGAAAACTATACATTTCGAAAGTACTTACTTTCAAATAGTTTTGTATACTTTGAATATTGTTGTATTTTAATAAATATTTATCATTTTTGTTATTTAGAGCAAAATATTGAAACAAGATCTATTTTCAAATGTACAGAATCTATGTAATATGCAGACAGGGGAAAAATTATATTCTATAATTCAAGAAGTCAATATATTTAGTAAATATGTTCAAACGATTGATGAAGAATTAAATCATATAATATTCAATGTTCTGGATACATGTAGGCATAACCATTTGTTAAAAATTTATATACCTAAAGATTATCCTATATACAAAAAACAATTTTTAAATTTTGAAAGTATGATTCCATCTGCTACTATGAACTACCTTACAAAGGTAAATTAAATACTTGTAATCTTAACCATGTTGAGAAGCTCACATTAAATGAAAAATTAAACAATGGATTTTTTTTGAGTTAAAATTGAATTTGTTCTGTAGGTTAACACAATTTCAAAACTATTTGAAGAGTTTAAAACTTTAATTGATAAATTAAGTAACTTTTGGGAGGTACAGAAAGAAGTTATTAACACATGCAATGTAATAGGTTCCTATACTTTTAAAGATGTTAACTATAAAATACCTATTGGTGAGTTGTATTAACCATAACAATATACATTTATGTGAAAGTATACATAGTGAAAAAATTCTTATTAAATAATTGTTCAAATCGTTTTAGATAATCAAGTATGTATTGAAATTGAAATTGATCCATTTAACCCTAAAACCTGTCCAAAATTTAATCTTTGTGGTCAGCCAGAATCCATAAAAAAGTTCCAACAAAGATTAAATGATATTGATCCAGTAAGTTAATAATCATTAATATAAATTTTTGATTATAAAAACAATAAACAATAAAAAGTTTAATTTTATTTGATCAGCCAATAATAATATTTTCAGTTCAAAATTTTTTTTTATTTTATATAATTTTTAAGTGAGTATTAAGTGAGTATATAAAATATTTATGTATTTTAAAATTATTTTATGACAATATTCTTCAATTTGATAATTTAAAAACAACACAATTATTTTTTTTAAGCTTTTCCACATAAAGCCATATATCATAGGCTATTTTTATTTTTAATAAATCAACAGTCAAACTCTTTAGTAAATTATATAAAATAAAATATTTCAATCATATTTATCTACAAAATAGTATGTGAAATAATTTAATTTGATCTTATACTTTGAAGTACAGCTATTTAATAAAATAAAATTTATTTTCTTAGATTTTGATGTGGAATACTGAAAACAATTTTAAAGAAAATATTCTTAATATATTTAAAATATCTGATTTACATTCCCAGTACAAAGAAGACAACACTCATGAAGTTGAAGTTTCAGACAGTAACTATTGTTTTATATGTTATGATCAATTAGATATAGTTCCAAAAGAACAAACTAAAACATGTACTTATGAAAAATGTGATGCATTATACCATATGACATGCATTTGTGAGGTAAATTACTTCGTTTTTAGACTAATGTAACAATAAAAAATTAATAAAAACATTATTGTACAAGTTGATTAATAATAAATCTGTTAAATTAATTATAATTATTATTTTTTTTTTTTTTTTAGTGGTTGCTGAATTCTGGTAGTACACCAATGTTTGAACATTTACAAGGGAAATGTCCTCAATGTGAAGAAGTATGACCATACAAAACTTATTTTAACTCATCTCGCTCTTATCATATAAATATCACACCATCATCTTTTATAAAAATTAAATTGATTTATTTTTATTGATATTAGAATATATATTATAACTATTTACAAAAATAATTCTATATTCTATTCATTTTAAAAAACAATTAATTTCTGAGTCTATGACTCATACATAATTTAATCATTAATGCCAAAACTTGATAAACATTTTTGACTTATACTCCTGTTATATATCAAAGTATAGAAATTTAACAAATTTAAATAATAAATATATAAGATTATTTTAGGTATAATATGTATTTAAATGTTTATAATATATATTAAATATATTTATACTGCAGTAAATTAAAATAATTTTAATTACATTTTTTTTTTTTTTTTTTTTTTATAATTATTATAAAAATGTTAATCACTTACTTTTTATTTAATTTATAATTTTATGATAGTTCTATTGATTATATTATAATATTGATTATTATTTTTATTTTTTAGGATATGCTGGTGGCGTTAGAAAATTTTGATTTGATTAAAACTTGAAATCGTATATTTTGGTCAAAATTGAGGGGTGAAGAAAATGGGTCCAAAAAAAATTATATAAGAATTTGTGAATTTGTTAATTTTTAAGCTAATTTTTATTATAATGTACATTTCACAAAATGATAAATGGTATCGACTGAAAATTGAAACCATCAATCATCCTAATGTTCTGTTTTCTCTATCATAGTAAAGGAAATAAGCCTATAATACTAGTGCTTGAGCTATTGGAGATATAAAGAATAAGCTACAATTTTTAAAAATAAATAAATACAATATGCATTTTTTAATTAGAATACTGATATTAAAACATATGTAGAATAATGGCTAAAATAAATTAAGATTTCTTACTACAATTTTTATTTATATTTACTTTATTATTATTTTATATATTTATTAATTATAATTTTTGATAAATATGATTAATGAATAGTAAATTGAAACAAAATAAAAATTGTTTGTTTAAATATATAAAAATTAAGAGTTCCAACGCTTATTTATTATTTCTTAATTAACATTTAGGCAAGCAATTTTATGCAGATATATACATAAAAAACAAAATAAATATAAATATATATATATATATATATATATATAAATTTATATATAAATGTAATTATACAGTGGAAATTACAAAAGTATACAACGATAACAACAAAATAAACCAATAATAGAATACCTTTGTTATTAGTAATACCTAGTTCCTTAGTCAAAATAAAAATATATTGAATGTTAAAAAAATAAAAAAATTTTTACCGTTTTATTTTTTTCTTCTCCGAATTACTGTGAATATTTACTTATATATTTAATAACTAAAGATAAAGTCATCAGGTGCTATTTCGTTTAGAATTCTATATCAACATGATCTGGTCACAATATTTTCTTGCTAAAATGCTGTCGTATGAAATTAATTGTTTATCACATTATCAGTGTTTGCAAATCTCAACTGTTGATAATATGCAAAGGTGGACTGAGCCCGGGAGGAGGTATAAGTTTCACAAATTAGCAGTTTTCATAGCCATCGCAGTTGTAGTCGGATTCGCCCAGTTGTTTTTTTTTCATAAATTGTATTATTTCTTTCGTTATTAGCCATCTGTAACGATTACGGTATGACCGTAACAAGGTCAGAGGCGTGTCCAGCGGGTAGGCCCGGGCTTACCCTGATTTTTAACCTTTAAGTATACCCAAAATATGCATTTTAAAATTATATTTATATAAGCACACTGAATACTGAATGTAAAATGTATGTACATCAACATACTGCGTAGGCAATTGTGTGACCATATTTTTTATCGATCATATTTTTTGATGTAAACAATATAAATATTTGTCTTTAAATAAAATTAATAATCGTAAAATTTATCAGCAATTCTCAAGCGCTTCTTGGAAATACCCCATATTTCTATATGGATATTACACAACCCGAAGACCGTCGTCGTTTGGTCGGCGATCACCGCCGTAGTGTTGAGCGTCAACAATTTTTTATAACCAGGCCTGTCTTGAATTTTGGTCTTAGACACGCCTTTGAACAAGGTGGGTGCCGGTTAAGTTCGGACCACCGGTTTTTGTTTGCGCATTACTATTGTTAATTTTGACTTTTTTCGTTAGACATTTTCGCATCGTTCAATTTTTGGGTTGTACATCGTTTGCACATTATCGGTTAAAAGATCATACATTTTTTGCGTATCAATATTATTTAACAATAGAACTGAAAAAATGTGTATATACTACTCGGTGGCGCAGACAAGAGGAGATTTAGGGGTTCGAATCCTACCCTCCCCCATACAAAACTCCCAATCAGTAAATAATTAATAATCATAATCAGAAAAAAATTGTATGTATGTACTAGTAACAACAAAAATGACTTTTTAGTTAAAAAGTTCACTGTCTCTGTAATTATATTTATTTTTTCATAACAATTTCTAGTGTTCAATCATTTACAAGAACAAGTTCATCATTTACAACGTGCTTCTGAACGTTAAAAATTAGAATATATTCAAAAACATTAGATTAAGTAAACCACCGGTGAAATAAATTGGTTTCATTTTGTAAAAAGAATAGGACAACAATATACCAAGTATTGTTTTGTAATAATCTTTTTATTGCTTAATGTATTTATGTATTTATTTATAGGTATTTATTATCGATAGAGTCATCGCATATCACACGTATAGAATGAGTTAAGTCAACATAACTATAGGACCGGTGACATCTGCGCATGCGCGCATACTTATAATGTCAATCTGTTTTTTGGCTTAAAATTGAATTTAGGCATCACTAATTTTGAATTTACAAATCGTTGTTATAGACATAGGCGCCAGGTTTTAAAAAACTTAATGGGTGCCTTGTCTAGCCTTTGTATCATAAGCATAAATGCACAATTTGGGGGATGGGGCTTAGCCCCTGATCAATATCAATGTCTCCCTAAAATTTAAACGCACTAAATTGCCTTGGGGGTTAGTTACAATTTAATCTTTTAAAATTTTAATTTTGGCTCTCTAAATTGCGCATATTGGTGTTATGATTTTACTACTTACCTAAAAGCGTTTTAATTTTTATTAGTCTATATAAATATTTAATAATACAATATAACAATATTAATCATATTGTACACTAAATTAATTAATAATCATAGAACAAAATAAATGTATACCAAATTGATAGCTTATTTATAAATAATAATAAATAAAACAAAAAAATTCATTTAGTTTGACTGTTTACATAAAAAATGTATTTCAACGTATATAAATTGAATTTATAAATGAGTTAGCTATTTGCTCAATATCTATATCTTCATTACGATGGACATGGAATAAAGCAATATCGTTAAAACGATTTTGTATTATAGACCTTAAAGATGTTTTAATCTTCGTAGTATTGAAAAAGATCTTACCGCAGTATAAGACGATACTGGAATCGTCAAAATAATGTTTAGAAGTTAATTAAACTCTGTTAAAATACCTCCAAGTGAATTATCCGATTTAAATACATCTAAAGCATCTTATATAGGTACTGTTTATGTTAATTTTTCTTGATTTTACAATATCTAGAAACATATCTCTATGCAACTTAAGTTTTTCTTGATGGAAATCAATCCCATTAAAGGAACTAACATATATTATCAATTTTTCTTTACCAATTATAAATTTTTTAAGTTCGCATAAATAATTAATTAATTTTTTTTGAAATTGGTAATTTAATTATGATAATGTAACATCTAGAAGTTCATAAAATGTAATTTTGTATTTTTCTCTAACTGATGAAAATGTATGCCCTTCACTATTACCTTGAAATAATTGTTTATAATTTTTTTTATTCTCAGTTTCTTAGGCTTTTTCAGTTTTAGCTCACTAAACTTTACTGAAACTTGTTCCTATAAGTCATAAAATCCCGTATATCTTAGTTGTTGACTAAATATAATAATGTTTTCAATTTTTAATTGTGCTTCTTGAAAACTTAAAGATATTCTTTGAAGTTCTGCATTTAGGATTTCAACCCTCAAAAATAATAATCATTACTTTCGTATAAAACAAAAAGTCAAGATTAAGTAAATGTTTATTATAACCACTGGCTTTTGCTCCATTTTCAATTTTTCCTTTGAAATATTATCAAAAAATTCTATTAATACTGCATAATTATCACACAAAGTTTTAGGAGATTATAAATACACGTTATAAATATCTAATATTCTAATGGGTGCCCAGTCCCTTCATAATAATTTCAATGAGTGCCTTAGCCCCCGGGTACCCATGTACATGGCGCTTATGGTTAATCGATCATCATTTTGACGTAGCAAATACAATATAGTTAATTATATTACTATAATAATGCAATAGAAACTTAACAAACACTAAGTGATAACACTAAGATAATGATTAACTATAAAGTATAAGTCTTATACTTTATAGTTAATCGTTATCTTGTTCAATAATCAATTAATTAATATCTATGTCAAAAATTAATAATAAGATGCCACGCGCATGCGCATATCACTGTGGTCCTACTGTTATGTTAGCTTCACAAATTATTTGTAAGACTCCATCCATTGTATATGATCTAAGATATTAATTATACATAATCATATCAACCTTTTATTGTTCAGTATGTTAATGCACATATGACATACGATTATTTTGCACAGGTAAATAGACGATGCGCAAATGCTTTACGGCCGTTAATGTGCAATAATTGCACAATCGATTATTGACGTACGATATTTTAACACAGGTAAACATGCATTACGGCCTATCGGACACCCTTTAAAATGTTGTATATGAGGTCCTTCGATTTAAATCTAAGCATAAGGAACCCGTATTTTAACTGATGTTTAATATATATATATATATATATATATATAAAACTAAAATATTTAGTTTAAAGTGACATATTTACTTTAGTGGTATTTCAGTTGCGGCTCGTAGATAGGGGCTGTGGGGCGATCGCCCCCTTCTAAAATTATCATTTATAACTAATTTATAAGTTTAAATATCAAATTTCAAATTTATATTATAGTATAATATTGTTAAAAATAAAAATTGTGTTTCCTATATTTGTATAAATAAATATTATAAAAACATTATCAGATGATGGGAGCTTAAAACAAATCATACAATGCAGTTGCTTTTGAAAATCGATAACCAATAACAACTTACGGGACCCACAAGCAACGCATGCGATGCTTGGGCAATGTTAAAAGTCGCTCGTCAACTATAATCGGAATACAAAAACTAAGAAGGTTAGGGAACACAATAATAATACTGCCACCGGGCGATGATTTCAATCGCCCAATATGCACGGATTCTGAACTTGCGTGTGTTTATTATTTACATTGTGCATTAGTAACTCTAATTAATTATTATTAATTTTAAATTTAATGGAATCATTTAATTTTTAATCATCATTTTTCTCTGTAATATCATTATTTATTCCAAACGTTCTTAAAAAAGCTGTACATTTGCGGTCTATACATCGCCATTTTATTTCACTTGTAAATATTATCGGGCCGAGATTACAACCAACCTTTTTTATTACCTGTAATTGCCGGGCCGAGTTTATAATCTACCTACTTTATTACCTAAAATTTTCGGGGCCGAATTTAAACAAAAAAGGTAATCGCGGGCCCAGTTTACATTTGCCCGTATACATTTATTGTTTAAATAATGGTGATGGAAGTTCGTCCTTCTTCTTTTCGGTCCTCAAACCAGATATTAGAAATAGGTAGATTTACCAAATTTTGAAATCCCTAAACTTATACCATCATATTAAATGACTTTTTTTTATTTTGATATGAAAACAAAATATGTATATAATTTTTTAATTTAAATATTTATTTGCTAATACAAAAA